ATTTAGTAAAAATATCTTATTTAGGTACTGTACTTTGATGCCTGTAATAAGTGCATTACACTACGGTCTGTCCTGGAACCAATCCTGTTAACATCTTTATCTGACAAGGAGGAGTGGACAGATTGCTCTCCTATCACTTAGGCATACGACACCAGACTGTGGATTTGCAGACTGACACTAGACTTATCAATACGAGTAACAACAAATGCAAAGTATTAGACCTGAAGAAGATAAACCAGATGCAGCAACACAGGCTGCAACAGACTGGGGAGGAGAAGCTCTTCATAAAAGGCTTTGAGTAATTTCAATTATCTGTTAAAATCTTTCCAGAACTTTAATAATGATTATTTTATAAATTAATAACCCATTCAAGAAGTAGAAAATAACTTCTTTTCAATCAAGAATCTTAGTTTGAAAATCATAGTTAAAATTCATATCGTCTGCTCTAATAATGATTTATTCTTGCCTCTGAAAATCTGGTAAATTTTGCAAAGTCATGCTGACAAAACTTGTGTTGACTTCACTGACCTAGGTTTTCCTACTTAGTCTTTCACAAGAATATCAAAGGGAAGAAAGTATTACACTTAAAAAAAGGGGGAGCACGGTGGAAATCCTTAACCTATTAAGCAACTGAATTATAGCTTTTCATGTGAAAGATCGAAGTCAAATCCTTTACTATATCTAGAACAACTTTCTATCTTATATAAAGAACCACGACTTACCTAAAATTATTTCTTTTATCCATCCTCTTTTCCTAATGCAATTCTTTTTGTCAGATACTTCTCATTTTGTTTAAAAATGTCTTAATCCAATTTTGATTAATAAATAAAACTATTTCCTCAAACTGCCAAACACAAAAAAAAAAGCAAATATACATAAATAATTAATATTCACATTCCTTTATATTAGCTTTACCAGCTATGTCTACATTTCAACTTGAAGGTCATGTGAAATCCAACCTGAAGACAAAAAAATATAAACACCTTCCTCTCTTACAAGATTCATTTCCCCCTACTGATTTTTTTTTTTTTTTTTTTTTTTTTTTTTTTTTGGCACATTCTGTATCAGACATCTGCATTGGATGGATTGCTATGACTTAGTGTTGCAATTTGAAGCGAAGGGGAGGGGAGATATAAAATACTATGGTAGCTTACAGGCCTGACTCCGACACTCCAGTGTCGGATTCATAGATGGTCTGTTGTAGGTCTGATCAACTTCCAAACAAGAGAGTTCACAAATAGCATGATTAATTCAAATGAAACATTTACAAAACAGGTTTTCAAAATCACTGCAGCCTGAGGTTTTTAGCTAGCTCTGATGTGCAAATGTATAATAACCACTTGCCTAAGAAGACAAGAGAGGGCTCTCAACCTCAAAGAGTCTCCTCAGGTGGCATCCTGACCCAAGGGTAGGAAAGGGGTTCAATCTGCTGACTGATCCAGAAGTTACAATGGCATCTTCCCTCTTCCTTCTTTCCTCCTTTCACCATTTATATATATATTTTTTACATTTAGATGGAGCTTGGGACAGCACAGGGAGTACAACAAAGTTTGTCTGCAATGTCTTCAGTCCACTCCACCCTCCCTTCGGGTGGGCAAATATGCCCTCTTTGCAGCTGTGAGGAGGGCATATTACTCTGTCTAGGGAACCTTGGAGGAGCTGAGTCCATATGTAACAACCATCCTCGAAGTGGCAACAATGTATCACCCCAAGCAAGCCTCCATAATGCTGTAACTTCTACTAGGCCCTAGTTTTTCTCTACGTTCCCCCCTTTCAAGCAATTCTTTCACTCTTAGAAACTATCATAATCTTAGCTGTTAAGGATTTGTATCTTTATGCCAGATAAGATGCTATCAACAGAAAATGAACTATGTGTAGACAAATAAACTGAGTTCTGTTGAATACGATTGCCAATTAGATGTGSAGTTCACAAGCAGAAATGAGATTGTAGTCACTTAAATACCAATGTTTACAATATGGAGCTGAATTCTAACCAAAATGCTTATTGCACTAATTAATGGATAATAGGCTGCTTTTCTAGCTCCCCTAGACACAATCACTATTGAAGATATGGGTGAAGACTATAGAACAGACCAGCTTGCATAATGCTGTGGTGAGGATCTTCTGTAGACAGGCTGATTAAGATTAATTTTTCCTTAGTCTGTTAAAAGAAAAAAAAAAAAAAATCATAATCACACATCCTAGCTATAGTGTAGGATATAAACTGCTGTCAAGTGTGGCTAGGCATAAGCAATCTAAGCAGCATTTGGTTATCTCTGACCTCCATCAGAGGAGCTTTCTGGTATTATCACCTGCCACTTCCTCTGCCACATATTTAAGGCTCAGGTGGTCCAAATGCCTTCCCGAGCTGATTTTTTTCTGTTCATCTGTTACAAAATGCTAAATAATAACTGAAATTATACACTGCAACTGGAGAAAGTTTCTTCTTTCTGCGCAGAATGCAGAAGCCTCCTGCCCCTCCATCTTGTGAGTCTCCACTCTCCAATCATCCAAATATAACTTCTAGCAATCCCTTCTTCCATGCAGTGCTCAGGTTTTGGCTTCTGCTGGATTGTCTRTGAAGAACCAGTTATACAAAGAGAGACTTAACTCCTTCACCTACTGAGTGTCTTATCCAAAACACACTGTTSATAGGCAAGGCTGCCCTTGCCCCCTACTTCAGAGGGAGCACAGGCATTTCCTGCAGCCAGAGATGTAAACCAGTATGTCATCCCTTGGGACTTTCATTTTGGTTGAAGTCTTCAATGTGCAGAGAGACACCCTCCAAGCTAATGGTGTTAGGTCCATTCTTCRAATCGGTAGAAAAGGACAAAACCACCATCGAGAGAATCTCTCAGAGTCGTGGTTTATTTGGAAATAAAGTAAAGATAATAATACCAGCTAGCTGGGGTCCGGGCTCATCCCATGCAGGGGTTCCACCAACAGACCCTGTAGTATTCCAGCGCAAGGTTTTTATGCTGATTTTCTTTGTTCTTATCTTCATGCTCCCGTTCCTACTGGCAGGGCAGATAGCACTATCTTATGCGAATACAAGTGGTTTCTTGCAATGTCATGTTTCCATGAATTCAGTTATATCTTACATCTTGCAATGTCATGTTTCCACGAACTCAGTTACATCTTGCAATGTCATGTTTCCACAAATTGAGTTATAATACTATACTAACATAAGCTCCAAGCATCCTGTTTAACCCTTCACTCTCCTCTTTTTCTTTTGTTCATTTGAGAGAATTCTTTCTCTGTCCATTTGGTAGTTGTCTTAAAAGCATTATGTGTACCACCCCTATTTTTTTCCCTTGTAAACTGGACCAATTTGTTCAAAATTATTGGACCAAAAATTAACAATAATAATATTACCACCAATGGCCCCACAAAACTGGATATCATGGTCGTTAGCCATGGTGACCGGCTATACCAGTCTTCAAACCACCCTTGTCCGGCTTCCCTTTCTCGTCTCCTTTTTTCCAGCCCCTCTCTGACGTTGGCCAAAGAATCCCGAACTATCCCAGTATGGTCTGCATAAAACCAACATTCTTCTCCCAAGGCTGCACATACTCCTCCCTGCTGTAAGAACACCAAATCTAACCCTCTTCTGTTTTGTAACACTATTTCTGATAAGGAAGACAAAGATTTTTCCAGATAAGAGATTTCTCTAGCTTTTCAATATCCTCATCTACCGCGGCTCGAAGAGCACTTAGCTTTTGCGATTGTGTCGCTAGTGCCGATACTCCTGTGCCTACCCCTGCTACTCCTAACATCATTGCTATCGTCAGTGTAGACGATATCATCGCTCTCTTTACCCGCATGTCCCATCTCCTGATATATATACATAGTTTCTGCAGGATGATAGAGTATCCGAGGTACTACCATAACTTGAACACAATATTCCTTACTGTTATTAAATATAGTAAGTGATAGGCATGGTGTTAACCCAGTTTTTGAGCAAACCCACCAGCTTTCTGCTGAGGGAATGGCCCATTTATTACCATCCCTATTCATCTTCATCTCAATCCCACATAGCATTTTCCTATTTGCYGGTACTGTACCTATACAGACCCCTTGTCCCTTTACTACTTGTAACGTAACTCCTACTTTCTTGTCTTCTCACCTGCACTGTTTGGGGTTATTCTCTGAACTGTAACTGAATGTACTATTTATTCCGATTGCCTCGTAATAAGGCGGTCTTACATCATAACATAGCCAGCATGCTTTTGTTACATTTGGSTTTGTTTCATTAAGGGCCCTATATGCGGCTTGTGCCATTTTCCACATTGGYCCCTCGCCTCTTTCTCTTTCTTCTATAGYGGTTTTAGTTCCTTTTACTTTGATTTCCACAGAGGCCAAGGTAGTGTTTCCCTTATTTGTATCTGTCTTTTTACTAGTACTCTTTTCTTCCTTCTTTTCTTTATTCACCTTCTTTCCTCGTYCACCAGGGTCCTTTACTATAAGATTTGGCCCGACTGACCTGCTAGGAGCTATTATTTCTTTTTTAATTTGCATGAACCCTCCCCTGTCTCGCCCTTCCTCATACAACCTTACTCTCCACATCTTCCCCACCTCCCAACCTGTATTTTCAGCATCAAGCACAGTAAGGGATAAGTATTGACAATTCCCTATATGACTATATACCATTAGTATGTATTGTGGCTACATATCCATATTGCATAGGCACGTATCCGGACATTGGTGGTTTGCATCCAGGGGGGCCCAGTTCTACCTTTAAAAAGGGGTCTTGTTTACTAGGTTTCCATTCCATAGCAATAGTCTCGCAACCCCAATATGCACAGAAATATTCCTCAGGCGCGTTACAATAATTTTTCCCAGGATTATTASTTGGACAGAAATAATATGGCTTATCAATCCAAATTCCATTTCCATGATGTGCCACTAAATCAAAAAGTTTTWCCCCCTTAAACACGGGAGCTCCTGCCRTTATGTTRGTTTTAAGTATTCTAAGAGAGTCTAGGCTTACCAATGTCCRCTTATAAGGCTGATGGGGACTCCAATTTTCCTTTCCTGTTATCCCCGTTGTTCCCCACATCAACCAAAACATTATCCAATTTTKCATTTCTTCGCTGTAGATGGAGTCTCAGTGGGTTCTCTGGATCCCGTTGAACCTGCCAATCTTGTTCCTGTACTTTGGTTTCTGACGCTTTCCTCACGTGGGAGTGGTGTATCCACGGTCCTAAACCATCAACTTTAACAGCGGTTGGAGTAGCGAGTATAACAACACATGGTCCTTTCTATCTACTTTCCAGGGTTTTAGGATTATGTCTTTTTACCCATACCCATTCTCCTGGCTCAATCCCAATCTCCAAATCTTGCTTTTGATTTCCTTTATACCATTTTCGCAGTAAGGGGAATAATTCACCCTGTATTTCTTTCAAAGCCTGCACTTCCCGCCCTATTTCCRTAKTCCCTTTCCCGATCCTTCCTACACTTAATGRGTASACTGGGRGAAGGGTTCCATACATTATTTCAAAAGGAGAAAATTCTAAAATATACGGAGTGACCTGAGACCTGTAAAGAGCAAATGGTAACATAGTAACCCAGTTTTGTCCAGTCTCTTTTACCAGTTTTGCTAGGGTTTCCTTAATTGTCCTATTCATTCTTTCAACCTGTCCTGAACTCTGGGGATTATAAATACAGTGTAACTTCCAATTTGTCCCCAAGGCTTCAGTTAATTCTTGAATAATCTTAGCTACAAAAGCCRGCCCATTATCTGACCCAATAGTTATGGGTATTTCATATCTTGGGATTATTTCTTCTAAAAGTACCTTTGCTACCACCTGCGCAGTTTCTCGTTTAGTAGGGAAAGCTTCTACCCATCCTGAGAATGTATCTACCAATACCATCAAATATCGATACCCATATTTTCCTGGCCTTACTTCTGTAAAATCAATTTCCCAATGCCTTCCAGGTTCTCCACCTCTTTCCCTTATTCCTTTATGTACCTCCTTTATYCGAGACRGTTTCATTTCTTGGCAGGCCTGACACTTATCCACTATTTCCTGTATCACCTTCCTCTGGCCTTGGAACTTCAACCCGAACTTATCAATCAGCATTCTCATCTTTTTCTCCCCCAAATGTGTTGTATTATGTAGCTGTTGGGCTAATTCCTGTCCCAATTTTCTGGATATTATCTTCTTCCCRTCAGCATCTCTGTATTCCCCTTCTTCACTTTTCTGACCTTTAATTCTTTTAATCCACTCTTCCTCCTCGGGGGTATATGTYCTTTCTTCCACAGTATCATTTCTCACTATGGATGTGCTGGATGCACTGGTGGCTAGCATTACTGATGCTCGAGCCCTTAAGATGGCTTCTTTCGCAGCACTATCTGTGTTTGCATTCCCTTTACTTACTGGATCCGTTTGTTTCTGATGTCCTGGGGTATGTACAATAGCTACTGCCTTAGGTTTCTGTAGGGCTGACAATAAACGCAAAACTTCTTCCTTATTCCGAATTTCCTTTCCTGCARATGTTAAGAATCCCCTCTCTCGGTATATAGCTCCATGTATATGCACTGTCCCATATGCATATCTGCTGTCTGTATATATGGTCACTCTCTCATCCTCTGCCATCTCCAAAGCTTTGGCCAATGCTAAGAGTTCAGCTTTTKGGGCCGAGGTTCCATCAGGCAATCTCTGGCTCCAGACAACCTCACCGTTTTGGTCCACTACCGCCGCCCCAGCTCGCCTTCTTCCCTGTTCTATGAAACTGATTCCATTCGTAAACCATACTTTTCCTCCCATTAAGGGTTCGTCCTTCAGATCTTCCCTGATAGTTATCACTTCCGATAACACCTCTTGACATATATGCAACGGGGCTTCATAGTTCGGGTTAGGTAAGAGTGTTGCCGGGTTTAACASCACCGGCAAGTATATTCGATTCTGTCTGGATTAAGGAGCAAGGCCTGGTAGTGAGTTAGCCTAGTATTCGATATCCACCTYTCAGGAGGCTGCTTGAGCAAAGCTTCTACATAATGGGGAGTAGTCACCAACACTTTTTCACCAAATGTCAATTTGTCGGCGTCCTTTACCATTAAGGCCACTGCCGCAATAATTCGAAGGCATGGTGGCCATCCAGCTGCAACTGGGTCCAATTTCTTTGAGAGATATGCCACCACTCTCTTCCAGGGACCTTGTCTCTGCGTTAACACTCCTTTAGCAACTCCGCCCTTCTCGCTTACGTATAAGTGAAAGTCTTTGGCTGGATCCAGAAGTGCAAGCGCAGGGGCCTTTAATAAGGTCAATCTCAGCTCCTCAAATGATTTCCTCATCTCCKCTGTCCATTGCCAATTCGGTCTTTCACGGCTGACCTCATATAAGGGCTTGGCTATTTCGGCGAACCCAGGCATCCACAGTCGGCAGTACCCCACTGTCCCTAGGAACTCTCGAATTTCCTGGGGGTTCTTAGGTTCAGGTATGYGAAGTATTGTCTCCTTCATGGCATCCGTTAGCCACCTTTTTCCTTTATATATTTTATACCCCAGGTAAGTAACTTCAGGGCTACATACTTGGGCTTTCTTTGCACTTACTCGATAGCCCAGCCTGTTTAACTCTTCAAGCAATCTTTTAGTTTCTTCTTCACATTCCACTTTCGTTTTAGCTCCCAGCAACAAATCATCAACATATTGGAGCAATATCAGCTTTGGATTCAGCTCCCRGAAATYGTTCAAATCTTCCTGCAATATCTCGTTAAATAACRTAGGGGAGTTCTTAAACCCTTGTGGCAAGCGAGTCCAAGTCAATTGTCCCTTATACCCCTCCTCAGGGTCCTCCCATTCAAAGGCAAATATTATTTGGCTTTGCTCCGTGAGGGGGATAGTAAAAAATGCATCCTTCAAGTCTAAGACCATATAACACTTCATATCAGGTGGCATTGAACTCAGTAAAGTATAGGGATTCGGGACGGTAGGATRTATATCCTCAACTCTCTTATTTACTTCCCTCAAGTTCTGGACCGATCTGTAATCTCCTCCCGGATTTTTCACTGGCAGTAAGGGAGTATTCCAAGGCAATTTGCATTTACATAGTGTACTTGCTTTCAACAGTCTCTTAATACGTTTAGCTATTCCATGTCGAGCTTCAGGGGTCATAGGGTACTGCTTCACCCTAATCGGAGATGCTCCAGGTTTCAGTTCCACGACCAGAGGAATCTTTCCTTTTACCTCCCCTACTCCTGAATTTTCTGCCCATACTTCTGGGACTATCTTCATCCATTTTTGGGTTTCTGGTTGAACTCCCTCTTTCTCTTTTTCATATAGTCTATATTCATCTTACAGTCTAACAGTTAACACCTGTATCGGTYGTCCTTCCCTATCATTAATCTTTACCCTGTCATTCTCAAAATATATTTGCACTCCCAATTTGGTTAGGAGGTCCTGGCCCATTAGTGGTACAGGGCTCTCAGGTATATACAAAAAGGAGTGCATTATCTGTCTATTTGCTACATCTACCCTCCTTTTTGACGTCCTGTGGTATAATTTATTCCCGTTAACCCCTTGAACTCTTGTCTTTTTTGTAGATAATTCCTCCCCCCCTCCCCCCCACCCTGTGTCTCATTTACCACAGAGTCATTAGTACCTTTGATGGTCTCCCCTCCTCCCTTTCCCAGCTCATTCCCTTTCTTCTCTCAGGGCATTCGTTCTTCCAATGCCCCTTCTTTTTACATGCGGCACACTGATCCCTCCCCAGCCTAAGCCGCATTCCTTCGGTGGGGGGTGGTCCCCTTTGCCACTTACTTCCTTTTTCAACTGCCCCATAAAATATTTTCGCTATCTCCYTCTGATTACGCCGATTCTCCTTAGCCTGATRTTCCCRGTCCTCCCTCCTTATTCTTTCTTGCCTTTCCTCCGGGGTCTCCCTATTGTTATACACTTTCTCTGCAATCTTTAAGAGATCTTGTATGGTCTGATYCCCTAACCCATCTATTTTCTGTAATTTCCTCCGTATATCTGGGGCTGCTTGATTAACAAAGGCTAGTATCACAGCCGCCCGATTCTCCTCCTTAGATGGGTCTAATGGGGTATATTGCYGAAATGCTTCTAGTATTCGCTCTAAAAAGGAAGCAGGAGTCTCGGAAGCTTCCTGCCTCACCGCATTCACTTTAGATAAATTGGTAGGCTTTCGTGCTGCCGCGCTTACTCCCGCCATTAACGTTTGCCGGTATATACGAAGATGTTCCCTACCTTCAGGTCGYTCRAAGTCCCAGGGTGGTCTTACCAGGGGAAACCCTTCATCGATTAGATTCTGCTGGCTGGTGGGCCTTCCGTCCTCTCCTGGTACCAGCTTCCRGGCTTCGGTCAGAATGCGCTCCCGCTCTTCAGTAGTGAATAACACTTTCAGGAGCTGCTGACAATCGTCCCAGGTAGGATTATGAGTGAATAATATCGATTCCAACAAATCAATTAACGCACCCGGYTTCTCTGARAAGGGGGGGTTCTGTGATTTCCAATTGTATAAATCACTYGAAGAGAATGGCCAGTWTTGATATGCACGTTGCCCTTGGGGCCCTATAGTCCCCATRACCCTTAYGGGGAAGGCTTGCAAGGTACCCGATACCTCCCCTACCTCCGATCTCTGGTGCGATCGTGTACCAAATGCYGGACCTCTCTGTACATGACCACTGCTTACCTCGCCATTTACCTCAGGCGGGGCTGCATATGGAGGAGGATTAATTTCTTCCTCATTTAATAAATCCGGATATAATGGTGAATTGGAATCAGGTAGAATGATTTTCCTATTTTTCTCACTCTCCTGTTTTACCATTAAAATATCAACCTTCCCTTCTTCTATTGGTAGTTTTCCAGGATCCCTTGTCCCACTCAGAAAAGATTTTAACCATGGTGGGGGATTTATTACTAAATCCTCCCATGTTGCTATATATGGAAACTGATCAGGATGTCCCTCGGAYCCTGGCCTCATAATTATTTCTTTTACTTTCCAAATTAGATTCAAATCCAAACTTCCTTGTCTTGGCCAGCCCACATCAAAACTTGGCCATTCACTTGTACAAAATACTTTCCACTTATGTCTATTTACCTCCACAGATAAATCATGTGTGCGGTTTTTCACATACCAAAAATGGCTCAACATTAATGACAGAAGTCATTAGCAGTCGACTTCCCTTGTCCCATTTCGTCACCGAATATTAAAATACCAACAATTACAATTAGGAACCTTATTATTATTTTTTCCCAGTCCAATCCTCTTAACACAAGAGGACTTGGAACCTTATTCCAGCCTGCCAACCTTTCTTGCTGACCTTCCTTCGGTGCGTCCACCTGGATTGTCGTCGGCTTATACCCTGAGGCCTCCCCAATTTATTATCTTTACCTTATTTCAGTCTTCTCCTTTGAATCCCGGACGAGCCCCCAAATGTTAGGTCCGTTCTTCGAATTGGTAGAGAAGGACAAAACCACCATCGAGAGAATCTCTCAGAGTCATGGTCTATTTGAAAATAAAGATAATAATACCAGCTAGCTGGGGTCCGGGCTCATCCCACGCAGGGGTTCCGCCAATGGACCCCGTAGTATTCCAGCGCGAGGTTTTTATGCTGATTTTCTTTGTTCTTATCTTCATGCTCCCGTTCCTACTGGCAGGGCAGATAGCACTATCTTATGCGAATACAAGTGGTTTCTTGCAATGTCATGTTTCCACGAATTCAGTTACATCTTACATCTTGCAATGTCATGTTTCCACGAACTCAGTTACATCTTGCAATGTCATGTTTCCACGAATTCAGTTATAATACCATACTAACAAAAGCATCCTGTTTAACCCTTCAATGGCAGATTGCTGCTTCGATTGACCAGTCCCATATAGTCTGATCATCGGAAAGGTATAAAAAATATACAGATATTGATAGGTATCAATGATTGATATCAGAATCAGTCTTAAGATCAGTAGATATAAATGTCTGTTTAGTTTGAAAGGTATCAATGCCTACTGATAAATATAAATAGGGATAACTATAGATAGGATAGCATATAATGGAATGGGATATCAATTTATATTTAGTGATACTGATACCTTTCAATGAGTATGGAAATCAACACCGGTTGTTCTTAAAAGGTATTAGTATTGATAGGTACTCTGTCTACCAATATAAAAATCAGTCTTGAGACTGATAAATATAAATATTTCTTGAGATCAAAAGATTTCAATGTCTATCTAGAAGTACTGACTGCATAACACTGCATAACAATACCAAAGAGTGCCTGGGCCTTATTCCGTATYATCCTTTACTGTCAAGACCTTGTTTGTTTACCCTGATTGCCACATGCCTGCATGTTGCCACAGCAATACCTAGGCACCCCCCAGCAACTCCTGGATGAGAGTTTGGCATTGCCTGATCGGTAAATAGCTGAAGCTGAAGGTGTAAGCACTCCTGTATCAAGAAGCACCAAAAGCAGAGTCTGGCTTTATTTACAAACACCAAACCACTTCCTGTTCTGTCTGCAAAGTCTCTGCTGATCCCCTTCATCATGCTTCTCATCAACAAGAGGTGAACCAATCTTAGATCTACTTATTTCTTTTATAATCATGGAGAACTCTAAAAGCAAAATCTGACAGAAACTGAAACCAAGTTTTCATAGTGATGCTTGGTGTGGACAAATACAACAGAATGAAGAAAASAGATTTCCTGTATTGATTTACTGGATCTGCCTTTCGCTTATCCTGCTTTGAAACAGTTRGTTTTATTGCATTTGGCAGAATTATTCTTAAATTATATAATTGTAAGGAAGACAGGATTGAGAATGTTCAACAATTAACCCTAAGAGCTGGGTAGTGAAGCAATCAGAAATATTAATATCACAAATTAAAATTTTAAAATGCTCTTGTATGTTCTATAATTTACTGAATTTATGTTGCTAAGGGTCATTTACTAATTAATGTTTTTAATATATCCTGTATACCCTTTCTTTTTTATTTCCTTAATTACCTGACAAATGATAGCTTTATCCAAGTATAAATTTTACACAATTGTTCCAATTTCAAGTACACCAAAAGTACTGTTTTACCAGGGTTGCAGATATCCATGAATAAGTACATTTAATAGAACAAGATCCTAGAATTACAATGAGTCCTTGAACTGTTTGTATGTTTGGGGAATAATGAATGATTTTACATTTCAGCACTGCAGCTTCTTTCGAAAGAATTTTTATCTTTGCTCAGTGAGCTGAAAATCTGCTAAATTATGCTTCACTTTCTTAACTCAGCCTTGGCATCATTGTCTTTTCGAAGCTGTTGGCATGGATATTCTAAGAAATTGCCTGTGCATTAAATTTAAATTAGCTGTCATTATTATTCAGAAAATAATGAGAATGAGAGCAAACCATGTCATTAGCAACAGCTTTTGCATCAGTATCATATTTTCTACTCTGTTTACTGCTAAATGTACAATTTACCTAAAGAGGGAGTAAGAAGAAATATGGATAAAGGCATTAGAAGTGAAATGCTAAGTGTTTAGAATATTACTTTATTGTAGAACAATTGTAGTATTAGAAACTTTTTATTACAGAAGAAGTAGGGTGCATGTCCTTGCATATAACCTATTTTTAAAGTTAAAGCAGAAAAGTGTTGTATGTATGCATATCTCACTTTTTTCTCAAGGGAAAAAGAAATAGCATTTTTCTATAACACAGTTATATATAACTATAACACAAGAATCAAGTCAGGTCTGAATTTACAAATGAGGAGCTAAGAGGCATCTTTTCCATGCAAATACCTCTCTATATAATACATACCTAGCATTTCACGTAGCCATAGGACTAACAAAGCTCTCCCACTGTAATCAAATCTTAGTATTATAGTTTCTTGATAAACAGACATAAGAAATTTTAAGGTGGACACAGCATTAATTCGGCTGAGAACAGAGTTCAAATACAAAGATGAAAGCTGAAGTGGCTAGAAAGAAAGAACAGTAATAGCTGAACCTACTTTTAAGGTCATTTTAATGACCTTTACAGATTCTATTTATYGCACCTGTTTAGATCTGTAGAGTAGGCTAAGATGAACTATGAAAGTACTCTGTTTTTCTTCTAAAGGCTATAAAGGAAGTTTAGATATATCTGCTCAACTTTCAGATATATCTGTCAAATTYTCAGATATATTTGTTAACTTTCAAGAAGTACCAATGAAAACAGGATGAACAGGATAAAATCATGATTAAAAAAAAAGGAAAAAGCGTAGGAGAAAAGACCTTAAAAAAAACGAACAGAGATTTGGATTGGGATTGGAAAAAAAAGTAAGATTTGAAAAGAGAAAGGGCAAACTAAAACATTCTGTAAATGTTGCAAGTGATGTCGACTATAAACTTTAAAATATAATATTGAAAGTTCAGAGTGTAAAAATAAACAAAACTCCTCCCCCACAAAAAAGGAAAAGTGAAATAGAAATTAAATACAGAAATAAATATATTACTATTGTAATAAAATTTATTGATTTAGACTATTTTGTCTAAATAAAAATACTATTTCTAATATAAGGATTTTTTTTTTTTCTAAATAATCAGCTGCATAAAGATATCTCCATTGATATTACAGATTTGGAAACTTTTTTTTTAATTGTTTGTTTTTTTCAGAAATCTTACAAAAAAAAAATACTTCAAGACTGAGTTCTTTCTTACAGACAATTACAGTGCATAATTTAATATTTTTTTCTAAGAAAAAAAAAAAAAAAACACATGATTCCAATCTGGAATATGAATTCAAATATCTGTAAAAAAAAAAAAAAAAAAAAAAAAAAAAAGAGAATATTGGATGCTTACCTTTTGCACTAAAGGTAAAAAAAAGAATAGCTATAGCCCTTTAATTTCTGTCCATTTTCTGTATCATGATATCATGAAAAAGAACTATTTTGACAAGCAATGTCAAGATTGTATTGTAACTACCTTCAAATTATGTTAACACTGCTGAGATCTTAGGTGAAAGCCCAATTCATAGGACATTTTTTCCATGCATTACTGAGATCACTGAAACAGAATGCACTAGAAAATTTGTTGGCACTCCTGGCTTTATATGATTTTAATTTCCCTTGAAAGCTTGTCTGTTGATTTTATTCCCTTGTAAGCACCATATTTTGTACATACAGTACATATGTGTACACGCATCCCTTCAGATATACAGGCAAAAATGTTTACACATATCTATGAAAAGATAATATGTATAAAACATGTCCATTTTATCTATTGTGATTTTTCAATATTATTGAGTGTTCATACACCATCTATTTCCAGTATATTCTTCTCCATATTCCTCACAAGCTGTTCATTTCACCTTCTCAGCACAAGAAATTTCTGTTTTTATTTCGTCCCCTGAAAGAAATATGAAGCAGATTGGTAGGTCATMTTCACCTCCCTTCATAGTTTTCAGTCTGGTAAGAAATATATTCCTCCGTTATAAATGGAGATAGCAGAAAAAAAGTTTGAACACTTGTTAAGATTCTCTTTATCAAACTTTTATCCCTGTCTCTTCCTATCAGCTGATGAGTAGAAACTTTTCCATCAGTCAGTCCTGTACTTTAGAAAACTAATATT